AAATACCTCAATATATAAAAATTTTATAAAATAACAAAAACACCCCCGCCACCTGCAGTGCCAGATTTCGGCCACCACCACCGGATCTGGCCGAAAAATTGCGTTACGACACAGACCGTTGGATCTGTGTCGTAACGCGTAGATCTGACATTTTTCGGCAAGATCTGGTCGAAAAAGGCCAGATCTAGCCGTTGAGGCCGGAATCTGGCACTGCGGGGTGACGGAGGTGTTTTTTTATTTATTAAAAAATTATATATTGGAGCATTAGTCAAATTAGCAAACCAGGGGGGATTTTAGAAATTTTTAAATTTATAAAAAACTAAAATATCAAACTTTCAAGGGCATTCTAGTCTTTTCACTATATCAAACGAAAATCACTAACAAACATGACGGAAGGTACCTATTTGTCGTTTCAAAACCTTTTGGGTACCAACTGTCGTTTCGCCAAACCTTGGGTTGTGTAAGTTGTTCTGCCTAACTATTTTATTAACTAATGGACAAGCTTGTGATGTTCTTAATTGTATTGGTGTTGATAGGCACGATACTTGTAGTATGGTTAAAATTGCCTTTATGGCTGTGTTGATTTTTTGAAATATTAAAGATGATGTTGAAATGGATTACTATAATGAGATGATGATGGGTGCGTTTGGTTTAGTATTGTGATAGGATTTTAGGGATAGTATTGGGTTATTGGATAGGGGAGTATTACGAGGTAAATTTTAAAATTTGTAAAAAAATCCCTTAGGTTTACTAATTTATTAAAGACCCTAACAGATAAAATGAATAAAACACCCCCACCACCTGCAGTGCCAGATTCCGGCCACCACCGCGGAATCTGATCGAAAAATTTTGTTACGGCACAGACCAGTCGGATCTGTGCTGTAACACGTCGTTAGGCCTTTTCCGGCCAGATCCATGGTGGATCTGGCCAGAAAATGCCAGATCTACAGTCTGTTATGGACATCGATGGCCAGAAAAGGCCAAACGACGGCCAAAGATGTGGCTGTCGTTTCGGTCAACAACGGCATTTCTTTGACCGTCAACGACGGCCATTTCTTTGGCCATGCTGAAGGCCAGATCTGGCGGAAAAGGCCACTTGGTGAACTTCCGGCCATTTCTGGTCTGAAGTTAGACCGTTGTACAGATTCTGGTTATCACCGACGATGGTTGCCGGAATCTGACAAGTTGGGTTGAGGGGGTATTTTTGTTAATTTTTAAACTTTTTTTCAGGGGGTATTTAGTAAAATTAATAACCTTATGGGGTCTAAAAGTAATACAAAAATAGGGTAATATTTCTGGAATAATATGCCAAACATTATTTGAAGATAGGATCCAGAATATGGATAAAAATACTAAGTCAAACATAGCCGATGTTATCTTCATTAATTTTGAAACTAAAATAGAGGCTTAGATATATTTATATATATATATATATATATATATTATTAAAAAATATTCAGTACATATAGAAGTGGGGACCCTTAAAGAAATTAATGGGTGTAATAGATTATTCTGTAAAATATATTAATAGAATTTGTATGTAACAATAATGGAAATTTCCTTAACCCCAAGGGTTTCGCTTAATTACCAAGCACCCACTGATTTCATAAATTAAACCCTAGTCTCCATTAAAATTTACCTTTAAAACTAATAGTAAGTGTTATTTAGTATGTATTATTTTAATTTTTAAGTTTAAACAAGGGTTGAGGTTTTGGGTAAACAAGGGTCAAGTGTTATGTTTCTGAGTAAGGGGGCGTTTGGAAAATTGGAAAGGTGTATTTCTCTGATTAACGGCTGTTCACTAACTGACATGGACGGAATGAGGTTAGGGTCCTATTTTTGAAACCAGTAGGGGCTCAAAATAGCTGAAACCCGTGGGGGTAAAGGTGAAATTTCCCGTAACAATAATATTAGAAAAAAAGTCAATTAAAATACCTTAAAGAAGGTCCATGGAATAGGTATGAGGTCTTCCTCTTGTTAAAATATCCTCGCAATAAAGAAAACAAGAAACTGACAAATGAGGGTTGACGGCAAGTGGGGGTCCCGTGAATACCGGGTCAGGCAACGGGGTCTTACCGGTAAAAGCCGGTTTCGGTTGAACGAGGCAACCGGTCGGATTAAAAAATAGAAAGTAGTTTCCGTTTTTAACTCCTCCGCTCTCGAATAATGCCCAAATTCGGGGCCGGCTTAGCTGTCTTTTGGAGCGATTTCCTATGGGATACGTCACCTCCTTTGCCTTTGTTCGGTACTCTCACTTTTAAAAATCTTTAATTATTATTTATTAATTCTTTAAGAGGCAAAGTTAGCGTGTTTCGACCATGTATGAGTTATGATGCAGCTGCAGCTTGAGACACTGAGACATGGAATTTGATGTGGCAGCATATGGGACCCATAAAATTTCCATGTCAGCAATTCCCCGCGTGGGAAAAGCATCTCTTAGATGCGTTCGATTTATTATTTCATATCCTATTCCTAATTCTATTATCAAAATACTTGTTTGTTTAATTATTTAGGAAATACTATTATATATTTTTTAATTACTTTTAGACCCCTTAAGTTTATTAATTTCATTAAATACTATCAGAAAAAAGTTTAAAATTTAACAAAAATACCCCTATCTACCCAGAGTTACCAGATTCCAACAACCACTATCGATGGTAGCCGGAATCTGTCACAACGACCTACAAATGATCGAAATTGGTCGATAATTCGTCGATCTGGCTTTTTCTGGCCAGATCCACCATCAACGACTACCATATCTTAGGCCAGATCGACGCACATCCGATCAAATCTGATCGGTCTGCGTCGTAATGCCAGATTCTGACCAAATTTCTATAGTGGTGGCCGAAATCTAGTACTGTAGATGGGTGAAGATATTTTTGTTATTTTATAAAAAAATTATATATTATGGTGTTTAGTTAAATTAGTAAATTTAGGATATTTTTTTACTAATTTTTAAATTTTATCTTATAATAATTATTTTATGTAATTATTTAATATTATTTTTAAAATCTAATCCAAAATAACAAACGAAATAGAACTTTTAAGCTTGGTCTTCGCCCGCTGGTGCACCACTATAGTGGACTGCCTTTGGAAGGTGGGAAAAAGAAAATCATAGATGGATGGGACTTGTCGACAATCCTAACGTTTGATTTTTAAATTTAAAATTAAAAAAATTATTAATTCTGACTTTTAAGTTATCTATTTTATTAAATTTATTAAAAGTTACTAATTAATTATAATAAACATGACAATCATACAATTATTGTGAAGGACTAGTTTTTATACCTATAGTATGGTGGAATGCGGAGAATGATTAGTATACAATTATATATATAAAAAAAAAAAAAAAAATCTTAATTGTGGAGTTTTATACAAGGAATATGTGTCCTAATTGTACTCTAAGGGTATGGTGGCCCATTATGTAAGGGGAGATCAAGTAACCCTACCTCTTATCTCATTTTGTGACACAAACATTTAATGATTGTTTATAGTCTTGTTACAAAACATCTTAGAATGGATCGACCATTTACTAAGAGGTAGAACATCTCTGGGTTTATCACTTATTCTTCATGAAGGGTTAGTGTCATGCGAGGGTTACCAAGACAAAGGGGGTTTCCCTTGCTTGGCAAGGGCTAGCAACTCACCACACTGCTTTACCCCAAGTAGACCATTCATGGTACCCCCTAGGTGGTTCCTTCTCATTGCTTGCCACTTGAAGCAATCCCAGGATCTTGCCCTCCTCAAATAACCAATTGAGTGACGGTCGCCCTAAAAGAAAACACATGACATCACTTTAGTAGATTTACTCTTGTAAAATTTCCTTAACATACGCCACTGAAGTATAGGTGCATGCGTGGTCTTGCCCTAAAAGAGAAAAAACGATCTAATAATCAAATGACATATAGTATGAAATCAAAGAATTGATTGGTAGATCTACATTGAAGAACATATGTAATAATTTGAATAGAAGGATCAAAAAGTCAATAGTAACCTTAATATACATGTAAAAGGAAAAATGCATGCCATTTAAGGTAAGTGAATGATTCTTTAAGGAAAAAAAAAATTTATTCTTCTTCCTTGACTATTCTTCTTCATTCGGTAGTCATTTTACCCTTTTCGTGTTAAGCTTCGTTAAGACTATTTTGAACCCTCCATTTACTTGAGTGTTGGAGAACTGAAGCCAATAATTTTTTTATTTTTTTTATTTTTTTTGTGTTTTCTAATTGTTCCAACAATGGAGCAAGATATCGTTCCGTTTCTTGCTCATTATTTTAAACATTTATGTGTAGATATATAATAATTTAACACGAGCAATAATATATATTAGTAAGATAAGATGACACATTAGTAATGACAAAAAATTTGGGATACTATTACCTTATTTGGACAATCACTCATTTTGAGTTTATACATTTGTTTTAAAATTAAAATTATTTTTTAATTGTAAATCTTGTTTAATTAGAAGTGTTTCAAGTTGATAAAAGAAAGAAAACTATTTTTTTCTTATCAAATTGGTCATAAATAATTGACTAATTATGAATTAACTAGTTATATTAAAGTTTTAAGTATCTAAATGGTGAGTTATTTATATTTAAGTTATTAAATAAATGTTAATTACTATAATTTAAAGTCATAAAAAATTTAGTTAGCAAACTGACAGCTGGCAAATAGACTGAGCAAATCTGTATCCCTCTGCCTTACCGGCAATGACGGGCTCCACTTCGCTTCTTTCCTTCCTCAACTTGTACATTGTCTCGTACTAATTAACTAATAATGCGACACGTCATGGACGAAGTAATTCTAAATTGATCCAAGGGTATTTTTGTAACACGAAATTCCTCCTTCGAAATCCACGCAATTTCACAATCCTTTCCTCCGTGTCATCTCGTGGACACAACCAATCTCCACCGTCCATCTCATCACCCAATCTCCACCGTCCATCTCATCACCCAATCTCCAAACCCTAGTTCTATATAACATGTGTGAACTTTCAAATTCTCTCCTCGAGCATTTCTTTCTTATCTTCCCATTTCAGACTCGGAGCGCTCTGCCTTTTTAATATTTTGTTTATTTATTTGTTTAACCAAATTATTTCAATGGAGGGTGTAGCGGCCGAATCATCGCCGTCGTGTTACGTGAGCTGGGAGGAGGTGAACGTGTCGAGCAACAAGGGAAGGAAAGAGGTTCATTATTATCTGAAGAAGAGAAATGGTCATGGTTCGGATCTGGTTGTGATAGGGAAAGAGAGAAGCTTGAGGCGCATGTCTTATCATTACGTTAATAAGAATAAATTGTTATCGTTGTCTACGACGGCGTCGCTTTTTAAGCTTAAGTCGAGGCGAGAGGTCATTGATTGGCTTAACTCAATTATTTCAGGTATTTCAATTGTATTTTTTTTTTTCTTTCTTTTTTTTTTACACTTAATTTAGGGTTAATTTGGGTTTCGCTGAGGAAGAAATTAAAAGTCTTGGATTATTTATACGTGTGTTTTTTTCTCTCAACTTTTTTGGGTTTTGTTTCTGGGATAAAATATTCATTAAGCTATTCTATTTTTTTTTTTTCGTGTCTTCAGATTTGAGCGTTTAAGATTGGGTTTTATTATGATTTTGCTAAATATTTTAATTTTTCTCAATTCATCTCAAAAGTTTCCATCTTTCTGTTAATTTATCGAAATTATTGTTCTTGAGCTTCTTACATCTCGATAGCTCTGTCTGAAATCCAATTTTTCTTCTATTTTTAATACGGACTTCTATCTGGGTTTATGTTTTGCTATGCTATAGCCCCTGATTCTTCCCGTTTGATTTATTTTCAGAAATTCTGAGGATATTTAAAGTTTTTATTTTCCTAAATTCCGAGGATATTTAAGTGCTAATTAAAGGGTCAAATTTGATTCATGCATCTGAGTTCGGGAGTCCGTCTAATTACGGGTGGACTGGGCTCCTTTCTTGACTGGGCTCCTTTCTTCTCTCCCTTCAGGGTTGACCGAAGGTTTATGATAGTTATCATAACTCGAGGGTAGTGTGTGACTAATTTGCCTGAAATTTTCCTCTAATAAAATTGATATTAGGTCACTCTTTTCCAAATTATGGCTTTTTAAAAATGTTCTTTACGTTCTTTTATATTTGGAATCATTTGTGGGCATTAGTTTCGAACCCTTGATTCCCCGAGAAACAACCCGTTGATGGAATTTCACCACTCATTTTTTTTTTTTTTTTTTTTTTGAAATTGATAGACTTCTTTTCTTCTTATCATTAGATCTATTATTCCTTTTTCATTTTTATTGTTTTTATAATATATCTATCTTGAGTCTATTTCATTGTTTGAAATACGTGATCGTGATCTGGTTCCGATCTATGTTTCTATAGAATGAATTAATCTTCTTTTGTTTCTCAACTCGATTCTTTTTGTGGCATGACTTGTTTTGTGGGTTACTGAGATGGGGTTCCTTACCTTACGCCCTTTTCCTTTCCTTGTCACCATGTCTACATGTTGTTGGTAACTGACTATGATCTGGACTGCAGGAATACCAGTACAATTTAAAGAGCTGGTTGACATCAGCGGATTCCTGTGCCCTCAAAATTTCTAGGTTAAGATCTTTCATGTGCAAATATATCATTTTTCTAAAAAAGAAACAAGGAAAAAAAAAAAAAAAAAATCCTCTCTGCTGTACTTTGGACTCTCTCATTGAGATATATATGTTTTGTGACCCATTACATATGTCTTATGAGATGTTTTTTTGAGCATAAAATCAGTTTTTCTTCTGGTGACTCTGTGTTTGCTTGTTTATGCAGATTTGTGTATGTTTTGCTTTCAGTTATACATTGAATTACATGACGTGGTGAGTTAATTTTTTTATGTGGGAAAGACTCCTCAGTTTATGCTAATTATTTTAACAAAAATTGCAGATAAAGCCGCTCAAGGACCTTCATCATCAGCTGGTGCTTCATTGGGTAGTAAAGAAGCCTGTGAATTGGATACAAAATTATTTAAGGTATGAATGATTTTGTAAAATTATGACTTTTTATGTCAGTCTATTATTTTTTCCCTCAGGTTATTTTTCTAGATAGTATTTCAGTTAATATAATTTTTAACAAAATTTTCTATTTTCTTGATGTTATTGTTTCAGGGCGTTCAGTTGCAGAAAATGGGCCATGATAGTAAAGAAATTTTTTGGTTAGGTTCTCCTTGGATGTTAAGGAGAAGACGGAAGCATTATCAGTCTTTTTGCCGGAACGGTGTTAAAATTTCTGTGAGTATTTTCCCAGTGTGTTTTCAGATGCTTTCTTTCAGCTTATGTTGTCCACTCTCTGGAATCTTCTGTTACTTATCTGTTGTCATGAAATTCTTGTGATGTTCTTATTTTCTTCTTAATCTTCAGGTTCATGACTTCGTGTATGTTTTAGCCGAGGAGGGTAAAAGGCTGGTTGCATACTTGGAAGACATGTACGAGGACTTGAGAGGCAATAAGATGGTTGTAGTACGATGGTTTCACAACATTGATGAGGTTGGTTTAGTTTTGCCTCACAATTTTAATGACAGAGAGATTTTCTATTCTCTTTGTCTTCAAGATCTCAGTATTGAATGTATAGATGGATTGGCTACTGTCCTCAGTCCCCAGCATTTGGAGAAGTTCCTGAATGAGGCGAGACATACTCAGCTGCAACCATTTATGTGCCACAAGCAGTTTGATAATGATGATGTCCAGCCCTTTGACATAACTCAAGTTAGGGGTTACTGGAAACAAGAAATTCTTAGGTATATGTCCATCTTTTCTTCCTCAAGTGACTGTGCAAATTCTCAACGGCCTTATGACAGCCAACGATTTGAAAAAATGGGCAATGATGAATATGAGATCAGGCCTAAGAAGAGGCATCGTCAGTCAAAAGATGACGATCTGTACTCGCAGTGCATCAATAGGAAAGATTCATTGGATGCGGCAGATGCTGGTGAGCAGATTTTGATTAAGAGTTCTGCTTGTAAAAGTGTTCCAGAATTGGCCAATCTAGATGCGGTTGGTTCTGCTGCTGGTTTCTCCAGTAAAGAAGTTAATCAAAATTGTCAATACTTGAAAGTAGGTTCTCATGTTGAAGTCCTCTCTCAGGACAGTGGGATGCGGGGATGCTGGCTTAGAGCTTTGGTAATCAAGAAGCATAAAGATAAGGTGAAGGTGCGATATCATGACATTAAGGATGCAGATGATGAATCTAACTTACTAGAGGTATATCTTGTATTTTAGTTACTTTTTGAGCAAGACGGGGTATTTCGGCTAGAACCCGTTTTCCCATTTTACTAATAGTTTTGATTGTTTGATGTTGTAGGAGTGGGTTTTGGCATACAGGGTTGCCTTTTCAGATCAATTTGGAATTAGGGTTTCTGGAAGGACAATTGTACGACCTGCCATGGACACTGATAAAGGCAGAGTATCATGGGCCGTTGATGTTGGTACCATTGTGGATGTTTGGTGGCATGACGGCTGGTGGGAAGGCATTGTAATTCAGAAAGAATCTGAAGATAAATTCCATGTCTATTTCCTAGGTTCGAATAAACTTTATTTTATTCTGCTGATTCTACTCTAGATATTTATGTCCGTTTTTATTAATCACTGAAAATCTAACTGTTATTTTTTATATTTTTGGCAGGGGAAAAGCGAAAATCAATATTTGGCCGTGGCGACTTGAGACATTCCCAGGAATGGTTGGGAAATAGGTGGACACATGTAAAGGAAAGACCTGATGCTGTGAACTCCATACTATCTTGCTTGGGCATGAAGCAAGTATTGGCGAAAACCTGTGATGGCAATGCTGTACAAGCTGCTATTTGTGTTAGCGGACAATCATCGAAAGATGATACTGAATGTAGTGAATCTCTTTCGGACTCTGGAGACGAGAAGTTGAAAAACTTGGATCTTGTTCCGGATCTTTCAAAGGATGGGTTGCTTGCCCGGTTGAAGTGGAAATCATCGAGGAAGAGAAGACGCTCTGGTGGAAGCTCTGTTCGTAAGCAGCATTACAGAGATCATGGCGGTAAAAACACCTCAGAAGTCATTGGATCTGGTACTTGTGAAAGGTTTTTTATTCCGAAAACCATAAAAGTTGATCATGATAACTGCAAATACTTGAGCGATTCTTTATTCAGTCCTTCAGTTGTGCCTTCTCTGACAAGCTTGGTTATGTCTAGGTGATTAGATGATGTTTTTGCGATATAAAAAAGTTTTGTCCATCCGCCATGGTAGTCTTAGATGTTAGTTTTTCTTGCTTTTAGGAATTATTAGAGGTATATATGTGTCATGTGGCGCATCTGCTGGATGCATCTTTCTGTTGGGTACTCAAACACCGTCTTTTTCCTGCTGGAGATATTTACGAGAAAACCTGCCATCCAATTCCTTCTAGCCTGTGTATTCGTACTTAACAAGAGCCTCCATATATGAGGCGGCAATTTTGGATGCAGTAGAAGGACCTTGTGGAGCTCTAACCTGTTTTTTGAATAATTTTGTATTAGTTGTTTTATGTAACTTGTATATCATATCAATGGTAATAAAATCATACCTATTGTAGTCTTTGGTTCTTATGCTAGTATAGCATTCCGTTGTATTATTGATTGAGATTTGGGTTTCATAAGCAGAAGGCAGATATGACGTATTTCTCCGTGGTATTCTTAATTGTTGGAAGTTACGCCTCCACCACAACGGCTCTCTTCCTCACACTACTTGAACTAACTGTTTTCAAATCTTAACTAATTTTGATAATTTGGATAGATTCGATGGGATATCGTTTTAATTAAATTTATTTATCCTAATTCTATGCACTAATCATTCCAACAAGAAATTTTATTCAACATTATTGGATTTTAAATTAAATTAAGTATTCTTTGAAAAGTTTCACCAAAGAAAAATGTTACACTAATAATCTTTTTTCATAAATTTTCTCTCATAACATCGATATGACATTTGTAATTGATCAGTTTGTAATGAGTCTTACCTAATAAATTACAACTGATCAATTACGAGTTGTCATATAAGAATTGTAAGAAAAAGTTTTTGAGAAGCGATTATGAATATGAACGGATATTTGATGATAAGAATTATATTCTTATTTTAGGGTTAATTATGTTTATCTTTGTCATATCGTCCAATTATGCTTTGATTGATATCAAACAATTATTACTTTTAAAAACAATAATACCCTTTGTATGTAAATTAAAATTTAACACTTAAAACTCTTTACCCTCAATCTTTTTAACACAATTTGAAGATGAAATTCTGATATGAATAGTTTGCTATAAAAATCTAATCTTGGAAAAGACTACTCAATAGGTGAGATTGTTTATAATCACACATTCTCTTCCTTTAAAATAAAGATTAAAAAAAAAAAAATACTTAAGTTAAATAAGCAAATATTTATATGATGTCTTATTCAATTAATTAATTATCATTGTCATTGTCAATACTGAAAACAACAAAGAGAGGGTGTTTCTAGGTTTGTTTATACTTTCCAACCATTTAGGGGATTTAGAGAATGTCATAGGTTTGATATAATTTGATGTTTTCCTCTTCTTTTTTACTTTTATTACTCCTGTCAACTGTATATTTGAAAGTGCTTCTATAGTTCTCTGCAATACAAGCATCACCCTCATTTATTTGAATTTTAACTCTTTAAATTACATTCTTATGTGTTTAAATAATAATTTGTCAAATTTTAATGCATCATTTTAAGTTAAATATGATTACACACTGAGAAATACTTGCAATTAACCATTATCATTGAGTGATCTAATGATAAAAGAGTAAAAAAAAGTTCTATGAACTCCTGAGTTCGAGTCTTTCAAGTATTAATAGGAGTGTTTATTGAAATTCTTACTCATATGGTAGTTCTAAGACCTCCAAAGGATTAGCTGAGATGCGTCCAAACGGTTCGATGATAACAAAAAAATACTTATAATTTTCTCTTTCTTACACTTTTATTTTTCACCCTCACTCCAAAAACAGAGTGAAAAAAATAATTATTTATGAGCATTTCTTCTGTACATTTCATTTGTTTTGACATATAAAGAATAATGGCGGACGGCTTAAGCTTTAGCCTTAGCCCACTTGTTTTGACTTGTTTTGCCTCTGGGACCCAACCCCACGGAGCATCCAACCAAGTATTTCTAAGCTTCATTGTTAAATATTTCCTATGAGATTTAGTGCATCTCGTTAAATTATAGATATAAAAGGAAAAAGACTTTATGGGTAGAGTGTTAGAAACTTTCAAGCTCTGAGCCTGAATTTTCTATCCAGAGGACCTTGGACACATAGAGGCTCCAACGGTTACAAAGGACCAGCTCTTGTCTTATCCGAAATTGCAGCTTTACTTGGCAAATTAGTTTGCAGTTGCACCTAATTTCCTTTGATTTGACCAATTAATTGAATCATAAAGGAAGTATTTGGTGCTATAAGCACGCAACCTCTATTAAAGTAATTATATAAAAGAGCAAAGCTTTCAGAAACGGTATGAATTTGTGGGGCTCCCCACCTCAGCGAAAGGAGCATCTTTGTCAACTATGCAGAAACACCTTTATTCATTTTACTATGTTATCATATTATGTTGTACTTTCATTCTCCAACAATCGAAGCACCTCAAAGAGATGAGCTTCCTGTATCACTTCACAAAGATCATCACCTAGCTGTTAATGGATCCTCTTCTCATCCCTACTTCTTTCTCTGTCACTCGCTCTCCGCCAAGATGGGATTAAACCTTTTACCTTATAAATAACTCTGCTGCTGCAAGGTGTTTGTTTGGAAAATCACGTAGCAACGCAATGTCGTCTGTGCCTGATGGGGTTAAGATTAAGAACAAGGAGCTGCCAAGAATTGGGTTCAAAAAGTCAAGGACCAACTCATCACTTCCTGGAACTTCTCTTGCTTCTTTGGAATCCTTATCCATGCCTCTGGTTTTTCTCTCTCTCTCTCTCTCTCTCTCTCTTTCTCTGACTCTCTTGTTATATTGAAACTTGAGTTGGGGTTAATGGATTTTGGCTTTGTTTTTGGTGATTAACAGGTGCAGGAAGTTGTTTTCTCTGCAGATATTAAGTGTGAGGAGTGTCAGAAAAGAGTAGCTGATATAATGTCAAGATTAAAAGGTACGGCTCTCTTTAGATTTCAATTGCTTTGAGGAGTCTTATCCTAATTACTAGTTGTAAAATCTACATGGTATTCTTCAACTGGCATCTTTTCCTTTCCCTTCACGAAATACAAGGTGGTCCTTGCCGCTTGTCGTTTATAGGCATCACTTTTTAACTCTTTATTTTGCTCTCAATAGTAATTAATCTTTTGTTAACTAACATACAAAAAAGACACTTGCATTTACTCGTCACTTTGAAATTACAGGAAAGCGATCAGGGACTCAAAATACTATGAACATGCTTGTGATTCCATATATCATTTCTGTTTTCAATAAAATTTTTTAATGAAATATGTTCAAAAAGGTCAAAGGAATATACAAGAATAAAGCACTATGAAACAATTTAAGTAATCAATCTTTTCTAATTAAGGTGAACCCTGTTACTGGATTCTGTGTTTCTTACTTCATTATTAATATTTGTATATTATGAGTTAACAAAGACTAATTACTCCATTCCTTGGTGATTAACAATTTGGGTTCCAGCTGGTAATTTGCCATGTTCAGAATAGAGCCAGCCAAGATAATCATCAATTTATTCAGTTGTGAAGATGGAACCCCATTTATTTTTTTGTGTATCAGATTTTAAATTTCACAGGATTTAAGATGCCTGTTCTGAGTTTGGAGTCAACATTCTAATTCTCTCCTTTGTTTGAGCAGAGACAGAGTCCGTGTTGATTAATGTGCTGGAAAAGAAGGTAACACTCACATGTAGATATCCTGGTGTGGTTAAGGTATCCACGAAGCAGGTTGCAACCATACACAGAAACCCTCTTGGCAAAATGGCCACGATCAAGCGAATATTTCGTTCATCCCGCAATTAATAACAGTTCCGATAAGGTCCACCACCATGCCAGAATGTGATTTCTTCAATAAAATTTGTTTTAGGCTGAATTAGCAATGTACATATTACTTTATAGTACTGAATGATAAATCAAATATGTAATTAGCGCTTGATTGTGATTGCAATTTTATGAAATAATTTTCAGAAGAAATACAGAGTAGAAAGTTGGATATGCTTGCTTCACTTTGTTGGGAACTGTCAGGAGATGAAATATATAGTTGAGGACATTCTAACAACGGTAACTAATGCTTAAATTGAATGTAACATAAACCTTTGGAAACAAGAAAGGGTTGCTTGATAATTTAGGCATGAAGTAAATACAATGCATTTATCTGAAGTGATGTTTTGAGATGAACAAACCTTAGTTATCAAGTCAAGAATTAAAAGCCAAACATGACAACCAAAAACCTTTTTCTTGGTCTAAGGGGAATCAGATTCCAGTTTTCAAGGAATGGAGTTTCCAAGAGACAATTCTAAAAGTGGAAATATCACCCCCTGGTCATCTATCATAAACATTCTCCAATTCCAGCATTTTGTTTTTGTACACTTTTTAAAGACTTTCATGTCTTCATTCTCTCCCACATTAAAGAGAAAAGGAGATGAAAGAAGAATCAAACTGGCGATTTAACTCCATATTCTCCAACACCAGCCTTTAAAAGNTTGTTAACTAACATACAAAAAAGACACTTGCATTTACTCGTCACTTTGAAATTACAGGAAAGCGATCAGGGACTCAAAATACTATGAACATGCTTGTGATTCCATATATCATTTCTGTTTTCAATAAAATTTTTTAATGAAATATGTTCAAAAAGGTCAAAGGAATATACAAGAATAAAGCACTATGAAACAATTTAAGTAATCAATCTTTTCTAATTAAGGTGAACCCTGTTACTGGATTCTGTGTTTCTTACTTCATTATTAATATTTGTATATTATGAGTTAACAAAGACTAATTACTCCATTCCTTGGTGATTAACAATTTGGGTTCCAGCTGGTAATTTGCCATGTTCAGAATAGAGCCAGCCAAGATAATCATCAATTTATTCAGTTGTGAAGATGGAACCCCATTTATTTTTTTGTGTATCAGATTTTAAATTTCACAGGATTTAAGATGCCTGTTCTGAGTTTGGAGTCAACATTCTAATTCTCTCCTTTGTTTGAGCAGAGACAGAGTCCGTGTTGATTAATGTGCTGGAAAAGAAGGTAACACTCACATGTAGATATCCTGGTGTGGTTAAGGTATCCACGAAGCAGGTTGCAACCATACACAGAAACCCTCTTGGCAAAATGGCCACGATCAAGCGAATATTTCGTTCATCCCGCAATTAATAACAGTTCCGATAAGGTCCACCACCATGCCAGAATGTGATTTCTTCAATAAAATTTGTTTTAGGCTGAATTAGCAATGTACATATTACTTTATAGTACTGAATGATAAATCAAATATGTAATTAGCGCTTGATTGTGATTGCAATTTTATGAAATAATTTTCAGAAGAAATACAGAGTAGAAAGTTGGATATGCTTGCTTCACTTTGTTGGGAACTGTCAGGAGATGAAATATATAGTTGAGGACATTCTAACAACGGTAACTAATGCTTAAATTGAATGTAACATAAACCTTTGGAAACAAGAAAGGGTTGCTTGATAATTTAGGCATGAAGTAAATACAATGCATTTATCTGAAGTGATGTTTTGAGATGAACAAACCTTAGTTATCAAGTCAAGAATTAAAAGCCAAACATGACAACCAAAAACCTTTTTCTTGGTCTAAGGGGAATCAGATTCCAATTTTCAAGGAATAGAGTTTCCAAGAGACAATTCTAAAAGTAGAAATATCACCCCCTGGTCATCTATCATAAACATTCTCCAATTCCAGCATTTTGTTTTTCTACACTTTTGAGTTTCATGTCTTCATTCTCTCCCACATTAAAGAGAAAAGGAGATGAAAGAAGAATCAAACAGGCGATTTAACCCCATATTCTCCAACACCAGCCTTTAAAAGCAAAATCAAAAGCAGAGAATAGAAGAGAGAGGCCGTCAAATCAAATAATCATTTTTACAGATTCTTTTATTCTCAAGCTCATGCAGGAAAAGACAAGTTCAATATTTACACCTTTTTTTTTCTGGTCTTTGTCACGAGATAGCGAAAAGGAATTCCTTTGTTTTTTTGGTTTAATGTGACAAACTAATAACTTTTTATGTAAAATTGCAGATTTGTTGCATGGTGATGAGACTTAACCTAGACTGCAATGGTTGCTGCAGGAAAATGAGGAGAATTCTTCTGAACATGAAAGGTAAGATTTTTTCACTCATTTAAAGTTTCAGCTCATACATAAATTCAGTTGTTCTATAACCTGTTTATTTCATATATTGAAGAGGTAGAGTCGCATGCAATGGACAAGCAGCAATGCAAAATAATGGTTTGTGGAAGATTTAGGCCATCAGATGTGGCGATAAAAGTAAGAAAGAAGATGAACCGTAGAGTTGAAATACTGGAAATCCAAGAAGTTAATGAGGGAAACGAGCAATAGATCAATCGAAACCCTTGATCACTGATGGTCATGTTTGTGCCATCTTATAATAAAAGCCAGTCACAGCATTTCCTTTGAAATTAAGCCTAGCAGTCATTGGTTTTGCATGCAAGATTGGAGACAACATGGTCTTTGATTAAAAAGAAAATCAGGAATTGATTTCTATAATTCAATTATAATGAAGATAGAGATATAGGAAGCAGTTAGATATGTGATTTCTATTAGAAATAGTTTAATCTTTAGGAAGCTGTCAAGAATTGTATAGAGATCAAGATGATTGCTCTTCAGATTTCAGAAAACTAATATTATAATTGGTGTATAATATAAAATGCACATATATACATTGTAGATATATGATATCGTTATCAGTCTCCATTATTCCACTATTTATTCATTCAATGCGGGAAAGATAATGTTAAGTTACCTTTCCCCTTCAGTTATATCAATCAATAGAAGCAAATAACCACTCTTACATGACCGACAGTTTCAAGATCTCGAAAGATTAGTTGAGATACGCATAAATTGATCGAACACCTCTAATGTTAGAAAAAAAATAAATCAATAGAATTCCACCGTACATATATATATACACATAAAAGAGTAAGTGTCTTCAATACAATTACGTAAAAACTAAATAATAAATATAGCTTGTAATTTCGCCGCTACTGAAATCGTATTTCTCTTTTTATTATTGGCTCCTCGAATGTTTTAAAGAGAAAATCTAGATTATCACCATGATGCCACATTATTCTAAGTATTTAAATTTGTTATATGTATGGTTAGGTTATTGTAACACAAAATTTTGACACATATTTGTGATATAAATTCATAGCAATTGATTTAATATAATCTAACGGACGTAGATTCGGACCATGATCCTTTGATGATATGAATAGGTACATAATTAGCTGTTCATAAAAAAAATATATTAAAAAAACCTCATTACCGTACATTATCATTCATGAAAGGTTGTTATGAGCCAAGATACTAATAGATATGTATCACACGTATTGTTGATAACTTCTTTTAATGAAACTATTAAAAAAAAAGTTGAGATTAATCATAAATCACTTTTTCGGAAAAATAATTAATTAATTAATTTTTTTTTTTACAAAAACCTTCAATTATCACCAAAAAAAAATAAAAACTAATTAATTGTATCCACTTTCACCCTTTAAAATTCATGTCAATTGGTTATTTAAAGGAGTTAAGTATCTATAGCTCCGTTTGACTTATTATTTCTACCCATATTTCCAATCTTATTTTCAAAATACTTGTTTGTTTTGTTATTTGAGAAATATTAGTATATTTTTAAATTATTTTAGACCCCTTAAGTTTATTAATTTCATTAAATACCCCTAAAAAAGTTTAAAAATTAACAAAAACACCCCCACCCACCCATACTTACCAGATTCCGATAACTACTGTCGGTGGTGGCCAGAATCTGTCACAACGACCTGCAAACGACCGGAACTGGCTGATAATTCACCGATCTGACATTTTCTGATCAGATCTGGCCGTCAACGACGACCAAAGAAATGGCCGTTGTTGACGGTTAACGACAATCATATCTTTGGTCGTCAAGACTTTTGCGGCCGTAGACGACCAGATCTGGCCGGAAAAGGCCATATCGATGCCCTACCAGTTAGATCCGATTGGTTTGCGTTGAAACGCCATTTTCTTGTCAGATTTCAACGGTGATGCCCAGAATCTGGCACTGTGGGTGGGTGGAGGTGTTTTTGTCATTTTACAATTTTTTATATATTGACATGTTTAGTTAAATTAGCAAACCTAGGGGTTTTTTTTGTAAATTTTTAAATTTTACCTCTTATTATTCCTCTATTCAACTACCCAATATTATTTCTAAATCCGATCCAAAATAATAAAACAAATGACACCATAATACAATCAACTTTGGCCTCTGCAGATGAAAACACCTAAACGTGGGAGAAAAAAAATTATGGCTGCTTCAATTATTGCACGTGTAATATCAGATGACCTAATTACAATACCTGGATTGACACGTGCGGATAAGGTGCTGGCCCAAATTGGAAAATCTACATCCCAAATCCGGAGTCATATTAGTTAGCCCCAACACGAAACTCACTCGGTGATATTCGCGAATCACGATTTGCAAATTCACTCTGTTCTTTCTTTCGCTCTCTCACCCCCAAAATTTATTTTCAAAAAAAACCCTAGCCCTAGATTTTTTACAAATTCAATCCAATGGGCAGCGACCAAGACACCCAACGCAAGCACCGTCGATCCACCTCTGATGATGAAGCCGAGAAGTCCTCTAAACGACATAAACATCGTCATCATCACCACCGTCACCGTCACCACCGAAGCAGGAGGCACGAAGACGAAACCAATCGCGGAGGCGATGACGTGGCTCCTTCTGTTCCGGTCATTAATAGTTCTGGAATTGATGATGACGTGGAGGAAGGAGAGATTCTTGAAGAGGACAATTTTGAAACCAAGAAATTGGATTCTTCTGAAATTAAGGCCGTTGATTTACTTGATGGAGTCGACCCTCGAATTCCGGTGTGTTCTGATTAACTTTAAGCTGTTCAATATTTATTGGTTAATTTTGTCATTGTTGATAGTTTTTTTTTTTTTTTTTCTGTTTGGTTGCCGAGAAAATTGTAAGAATTAAAGTAATTTTGAACTTATTAGAATTTTAATTTTTTTCTTGCTTGCTTAAACAGCGAATTTTATTGGAATTCAATTTTTTTTTTTTTGGTCTCTTTTTTTAATTTCAAATGTTCTGTTTTCTTTTGAACTACTCTCGGTAACCAAACAGAGGTTCATAGTGTTTTCTAGTTTGATTCATGGAATTCAATGATGAGTTTTTGGTTTGTGAGAGCTTCTTTAGAGTACCTGAGTGAGTGTCTAATGTATACAAAAGAATCTGCTTGAGTGAATTGCAAAAGAAGTTTCCCCTAGGCGTTTCAATGGAGACTGATGGCTTACTATTGATTTGTAAGAGCTGGTTACATGTTTTTATTTATATCTTCTGCATTCACTACATATGTTTTTATTCTTGTTTATCTTACTTTTAAACTTCAATGCATTGTAAGTGCATTGCTTAAATACTTTTGACAATGGTTTGTAGGGAGTTGGTGAGTTTGATCATGTGAAAGAGACTCCACAGAATAAGATTGATGACAATCTGATTGCTAATTCTGGCATTAGTGAAAAGGTTCACAATGATCATCATGTCAATGGGGATTTTCCTCGTGAATATAGAAAAGATATTGATAGACGGCCAAGGGAATCTGTTTCTCCTTCACGAAAAAGCAGAAAGCAGAAGAATTATCTTGACACCGATGGAATGCAAGATGATGTTAGCAAATTAAGGGAGAGGAGAAAATCATCGTCCCCTGAAAGCTCAGTGGACGGGCATAAGCTGGTGGTGCGCTCACCATCACGTGATAGATCTAATGATGATTTTCATGCTAGGAGGAGAAGGTCAAGGTCGCGTGATCTTGCTTTGGAAAGATCTCGTTCCCTAAGCATAATGGAAGAAGAAGCTGTCATTAAAAGAAGGCGCTGTCATGAACGGGATCTGAACGACTTTGAAGACGATAGGGTTATTCAACGCAGTAGGAATGAGAGACATGGTACTAGGGATTTAGTGAGGGATGAGGAAAGGGAGCACAGTAGTAGTTACAGCAGCAGACACATTGGCAGAGAGGATAGCCATCGCAGTCGGGAGATACACAGAGAGAGGAGTTGGGAGAGGGAGATGGAAAAGGAGCGGAGAAGGGAGAAGGAACGAGAAAGCAGCAGGAATATGGAAATAAACAGGGAACGGAGAAGAGACAAAGAACGAGAGAGAAGTAGGGACAGGGAAATATACAGCGTAAGGGAGGAACGAGGTAGTGGCAGGTATGAGGAGGTGGATCGGGGTAGGAAAAGGGAGAAGGAAAGAGATAGGAGCAGAGATAGAACCAGGGTCAGTGATAGAGACATAGATAGACATAGGGAAAGGGGGAGAGATAAGGACACGTTCAGACTTAGGGATCATATCTTGGAGAGGGAGAGGGAGAGACGGAGTGATAGAAGTCGAGATAAAGCTGGAGATATTGAGATTGGTAGGATGAAGTATGGAAGTTTTGATGACAATTATGGAAACCGAGATAGGTTTAAACATTCTAGGCACTCGACTCATGATGATGATAAAGGACATTTTCGTGATAGAACAAGAAGGGATGATCCAGCCAAGGTTCATAGCTCTAACAGTCATTATTTGGAAGGAGGTAATGATGGAAAAACAAGAGATGAAGATGACGAAGATGATTTTGAGGAAAGGGTTGCCTTGAAGCTTGTTGAACAAGAAGAAGAAGATCTTGAAAGAATTAAGGAGGAGAGTAGAAAGCGAAGGCAAGCCATCCTAGAAAAATACAAGAATCAGCAGTTACTGCAGCATAGTGAGTCTAATTTGGCTGATGTAGAAAAAGATAAAAAGTCTTTGGAGCATCCTGGTCTATCGACTGGTGTTGATAATAATTTTCCGGATAATCATAATGGTAAAAGTAATGGAGTTGATGGCTATGTTGATGAGCGGTTATTTTCTGTGAGGAAATCACCTCTGCAAAATGGAATTGCTGCTCCTGAAGGAACTTCTGGTCCTGGGGGGCTTGGAGACGGTACACCTAAGGTGTGTCCATTCTCTCTGATTGTTGTATGTTTTGCAATGAAAGTACTAAATTGTCTGTTTGACATGCAATAATTATTTTTTTCAACCTTTATGCTGTTGCTAATTTGATAGTTCTTTATAATTTATGCAGAGTGAGACATCAGACCTTGTGTTTTGTGATGATATATTTGGAGAGACTCCTACTGGAGTTCGTAAATCGGTAAGATTAATGGTTACTTGCTATGTTTCTCTTCTTAATTTTTTCCTCCTTATATTTGACGATGATTGGATATATTTAGGTGCAGCTTTCGATGTTATGTATTTTGGTAGCAGAGTAGTGGTCTGGTCGTGTTGTTCATTTTTGGCTATTTGTATATCATCTTCACTCTTTTTTATATTTGTGTCATTAAAAAATTTGACCTTTTTTTCCTGTCTCTTTAATTTAATTCAACTAGTTCTACTGAAACCTTGGGGTGATTTAGAGAATTCATTCTCTGTGAAGAACTGAATGGGATACCCTTTTTTGCCTGTTATTGGTAGCCTCAAATTGTTTTCCATCCTTTATTTATTAATTTTTTATGCTTTGTGATTGTATGAATGTGTTTTTTATTATTAGTTTATTGTACTTGATCATGCGAGGTTTCAATCATGCTATGATTTATATTTGATAGGTTAGTTACTTTAAAATCAATTTTTTTTCCTTCCTTGTTGAAGATTATTTGGGCTTGTAGTGCTTCACTGATGTATTTATGTTTTATTTATTGAAGGGTAAAGCTGAAGGTTCAAAAATTATAAGGAGTGGCCTTCATGACAACTGGGATGATGCAGAAGGGTACTATAGTAAGTTCTAACATCTTTTATTTTATTTTCAATTGTATGTCTCTGGAGAGTTGATGCCAACTTTTAGTAAGCTCGCTAGTGTCTTACTTAACCATCTAAGCTCCATTATAAACTGTGATTTCCTTCTGATTCATACAATTTGTAGTCTTTTTTTCCTTTTAGTTGTTTTAAACAAAGAATTTTTGAGTCAAGCTACTGCCAAGCAGATTCTGTGTATTTCATTCATTTACTTTTGATCTTAGCCTGGGAAAGTCATGGTGCTTGACCAATTTTTAAATTTTCTTCTTCCTTTTGTAAAAGTTTTTTTTTTGGCATTGTTCTCCGATTCCCCTGGAAGTGAAAATAGTGCTAAAAACAAATTTTAAATTATTATTATATTTAATTTATCCTTTCTAAATGGGAACTGGTTTATAAGAATGTGCTCTCTCTCCTGGACAAACTGGAAACATTGGGATTGAATGTGTGCCTTAGGCTATTGCTTAAATTTTGTGATTTTTGTTTTCCTCTAGTTGTTCTTCTGTCTTATGTTGTTAAATTTCTCCTACAAGGCCATCGATTTGGTGAATTACTTGATGGACGGTATGAAGTCACTGCTGCTCATGGGAAAGGTGTTTTCTCCACTGTAGTACGTGCAAAGGATCTTAAAGCTGGTATTGGTGAACCTGAAGAAGTGGCCATAAAAATTATACGCAATAATGAAACAATGTAAATTATCATATTATCACATGCAAATTTGATACTGTGTGCTCCTTTTCCTATGGTTTTATCCTGTTCTGATGCTCTGAATACTTGTATATGACAGGAACAAGGCTGGTCAGACAGAGGTTCAGATATTAAAGAAATTGGCAGGTGCAGATCCAGAGAATAAGCGTCACTGCGTCCGCTTTATTTCAAATTTTAAGTACAGGAATCATCTTTGTTTAGTTTTTGAATCTCTTCATATGAATCTGCGTGAGGTTTTAAAGAAGTTTGGCCGCAATATTGGGCTTAAACTTACTGCTGTGAGAGCATATGGAAAACAACTTTTTATTGCCTTAAAGCATCTCAAAAACTGTGGCGTTCTTCATTGTGATATAAAGCCCGATAACATGTTGGTAGGTACTCTTTTATGGTTTGGTTGCTCTTTGATAAACTTTGCATCATCATCTAAAATATTCCATTGTTGAGTCAGGTAAACGAGGCAAAGAATGTGTTGAAGCTTTGTGATTTTGGTAATGCCATGTTTGCTGGTAAAAATGAAATTACGCCTTACCTTGTCAGCCGATTTTATCGTGCCCCTGAGATAAGTAAGTTCTGGCATTATCTATTTTGTTGGCTGTTTGAAATGATGAATAAGGTCCTTGTTGGCTGTTCAGTATGTTGTATTTGTTGCAGATAGTGCTTTCTGTTGAGAAATATATCTTTTAGTCATTCTATGTGGTTCTTTTGCAGTTCTTGGTTTGCCTTATGATCATCCGCTGGATATCTGGTCTGTTGGATGCTGTTTGTATGAGCTTTATACTGGAAAGGTTCTTTTCCCAGGTGCTACAAACAATGACATGCTACGCCTTCATATGGAGTTGAAAGGTCCCTTTCCTAAAAAGATGCTACGTAAGGTAAGATAAGTGTATATAATCTGAAACTTATTTCTTTGTCATTGAGTTTTTTTTTTTCGTATAAATTTTGAGGTTTCGACATATATGTTCAGTACTAATGGAAGTTTAAGACATATTTTACTCTAGTATTGCTTGTGTACATTCTTTCTATCAGCAATTGAGAGGCTACATTATCTTCTTGTACTGATATCATTTTTTTCCTGGGTTTTCTCTTTCCAGGGAGCATTTACAGAGCAACACTTTGATCAGGATTTGAATTTTCATGCTACAGAAGAGGATCCTGTTACTAAAAAGGTATGTATACGATTTTCCCTATTTGCTTAGGTATTTACTTTTATTGATGAGTTTTCTAGGTATTACAGTTTTCTCTCATGTTGATGAAGCATTTAATTCTGCATTTGTAGACTATAAAGAGGATGATTTTTAATATAAAGCCAAAAGATATTGGATCAATTGTTACAACCTCTCCTGGTGAGGATCCCAAGATGTTAAACAATTTTAAAGATCTTCTGGAAAAGATTTTTGTGTTGGATCCAGAGAAGAGGATGACAGTAGCACAGGCTTTGGCTCATCCATTCATCTCGGGCAAGTGAACCATGTTGCTGATTTTATGACTCCAGAAATGCTGTTGAACTAGATATTTGTACATTATGACCTAATTCATATTTAGATATCTAATCATTGGGCATTATTTGTCTTTATCTTCTCTGTGCTGGCATATAAGCTTTGAACACAGTGTGGCATGGTTGAAGTCAAAGGGGGTGATGTTGGTCAGGAGTACTCTTTTCTGGCGGTTCTTTCAGTGGAATGTACTGTTTCTATTGTAAGACAACTAGCCAAAGGCGTTTTTTCCTCTGTAGTCATTCTTGATTGTGGCTATTGTGAAACTTCATTATATCTAACTTTTTTGTCTCATCATAATTACGTTTGTATTTTGATACGGCTTCTGCATTTCAATTTGTGGAAATCAATAAAAGTTGAAAGAAACATCTCATGTCGTATGAGTTAATAAAAGATGTTTGTTTCTTTGAGAATTCTGCGGGAGAGGGCAAGGAGAAATTTCTTTTTCTGAACTTCAATAGTTCACTCTCACGTCACTTGCATAATATATTGTCAGTATCAATTTATAGTTATTGGGCTTACAATCCTGTTTTCCACTTTTATTGTCTACTTTATTATTTAAATCTTTGGGTGCTGGAGAGTCTAATTCAGTTTTTCATCCAGGATATCTGCCACTGCTTTGAGGCAATCCTCCAGTGCTTAAATGCTTAAAAGGCACCCAGGAAAGGTATCTTGGTTTGTTTATTGGGAGCTTGTTGTGACACCATTAAAAGTACATGTCATGATACTATTGCAATGTTAGTGATTCGAAGATTAGTTATTGGGATCAGAAGGAAAACTTACACTAGTTATCTAGAAAGGTTTCGTTTTAATGCAAATAATGGTACTAACATTATGTTTTCACTTCTCTGGTTTTATCTTGTGTATTGGATGTGATAGACATTATATTTTGACATGTATTATTTCTTGTTTTTCTTCTTTTAATGGAGAGAGATTGTTGGTTGGCATGTACTGTGTGCTTGAGTGCTATCTGTGTTGTGTTTTTTTTTTTTTTTTTTTTTTTTTAAACCCCTTCTAGTTAAGTTCACGTCCTAATGAATTTTGCATTACATCTGATCCATGATCTGGTCATTCTGGAGGAACTTGCACTGGAGGTGTTTGGCTGCAGCTTGAAGTGAAAGAATATTTCAGTGAGTATCTGAATCATAAATCTCTTGCACTTATGTTATAGAAATCTTAAAAGGCAATTGACTTTGCACCTCATACGAAAGATCAATGTTTTGATTTAAGTCTTTTTTTCTTCCCTTTTACAGGTGCAGCCCTGTGCTTCTGAAGCTCCTGTAAGTATTTTCAAATATTACCCCCAGCTTTGCCCATTTTAATTTCATCTATTGTCATTGATGTTAGATTTTATATATTTACACTAATCCTTGTACAACATGTTCTGTTATAAGCGATTTGCATGGACTGCATATTGTGATGTTTACAACTTTTCCATGCTTGTGGGTGGGGTTTTTTTTCTGAAGGCAAGAAACATTTCTTCTGATAATCCTTTTGGGTTGATTTGTAAACTTTAAGGTATAAGTCTCTAGGTACTTGACTGGTATTCCATAGCACGACGAAAGAGTGAAAAGAGGATGGAACCCAAGGATGCTTAAAAATTAGAAATTCTGGACCAACAGAAAACTGGTGAACTTAGGAATTTAAGAATTTACAAGACCATTGTGAAGATGCTGTAATGGAACCTCAAGGATATCTGAAAAGTATAAATTCAGGTTCATGAACACCCTTCCTTCACCAGCTAGCATAATAAGATTAAGCATGCAGATATGTGTGCATAGAATCTAACAATGCCTAGGGTTTGTGGATATTAGCTCTGTTGCTTCTTGAAATTGCTTCTTTCTTTTATCAAGGAGTCTTGAGTTGTTTTTGAGGCGTGATGCACTAAATTTATTAGTTATCCTAATAATTATTCACATGAGTCTGTTTTTAGGTTGTGGTGTTCTCTAGTATAAAAGTAGTCATACTGTACCAGATGCATAATACACAAGCTAGTGCCTAATACATAGGTATTTTTTTCAAAGCAAAATAAAGTCATACTGGGTCCGTTTTAAGTGTCTTGCACAAATTTTATTAGTTAGCCTTTTTTTTTTCACTGGGTCTGTTTTGAAGTTTGATGTTCTCACTCGAGGATAAGAATAGTCATACTGTGTAGTAGATATATAACACAAAGTTTAGTTAGTGCCTAAATTATATATTTTTTTTCAAAGCAACAAATAAAAATAAAAAAGCAGTTCCATAATACACTTAGAAAATGCGCTTTTCTGAAAGCAATGAACAACGATTTTGCTTTATAGCAAAACGCTAAATTTGTCAAACTCGTGTTTGGAAACCTGAAGGCAAAAGTAAAGACCCTAACCATTCAGTCTCAAAACAATTAGAACAAGCACATTTGAGTCATATGTGAGAGTATATAGGCTTTTACTAGTGTTTGATATATATGCATCTGACTATTCTTTAAAAAAGTTTGGTGGATTGCTTGCACACACATAACAATACTTTAGAACTGCTGGGAGATCTTTGATTGGTGCCTGTTATAACTGGTGTACTTGAGTTGTGCCTTTTTGTTGGCATTTTATAATTATCAGTTGTTTAAAAAAAAAAATAGTTGGATAATATCAGAATGCATAATGACCATTTTTCTAAACTGCATTTTCAGATGAAACATAAATTTTGTGTCTGTACAGAGATCCACAGAGAGAGAGAGAGAGAGAGAGAGAGAGAGAGAGAGAGAGTATGTGGTGCTGGTGTTAACCACTTGTAAACCATCACTAAAGGTTTCACAGATATGCTAAGAGAAATTGTCAACTGCATTGGATATCTTAGTTCTTTTTTGTCTTATGTGTTGCCATTGGGTCAAGACCAATTACAGGTAGAAATGGTTGAGTAGTGGTAACGATTTTAGATCAGTATGCTTTTAATGTTCGACAGAAAGCATGAGACAGCTACTTGGAAATCTAACGAGTAACTGTCACCCATATGCTTTAGTTTTGGGAAGAACCAATTTATTTGGCATGCTGGAGGCTGGCTTGAACACACCACATATAAAATGTCTGATCAAATTTCCAAGGAAATGATATTGGGATTTTTTTCTATATGTTTTGTGGGGAGAGGTTTGCGACGATTTTTTTATATTTTGATAGAAAAAAAATCTCATATTCTTGTATCTTTTTCCTCTACATTTTATTTTTTATTTATTTTATGCCTAAAATTGGTGAAAATCTTTGTGGGTTTCATGTGCCCAGTTTGTTGGACGAATAAAAAGTTTCGTGAGTTGGAATTGATCCTAAATTTTATTTGATTGATAATCTTATTGGTTGACAATGAAAATGAGTTTCGTAATGTAGTTCCGCATTTTTAGACTTTACCTTATAATATATATAAATTTTCTTATATAGTTGACATTTTGTGCATATTATTTTTGTAACAGAATCGTATTTAGATTATCTGGGATATATGAAATCGTCATTCCTCAATTGTTTTACTTATTTCTACACAAAGTTCATAGTATAAGTTTAGTATTACTGTCAACATCTTGTCAGGTTTCCATTTTTGGCTGTTAAGACTTACCAAAAGAGCATAAGCCATGATATTGTTACAATGATATGTTGGGAGGAAAACTTGATTGTGGTGGTTGTATTTTGTAGTGGAGTGAGGTGTCATATATGGAGTAGCAGTTGTTTTAATGCATACATGGTTTTTGGTTTAATCGCCAGTTTTTCAGTGCTTGTGTGCGTAAAACAATCTTTAGTTGTATGATTGGGATTTGTGTGTCGGGTATCTAATTTTCATGTTTTTCCATGTATTTGATGTTTATATATAAAATCTGCAAATGGTAATTCTAATTACCTAAATACAAACGGCTAAGGAAAAAACAAAACGAGAAACGACGGTGTAAACGGAAAGAACTACACTCACTCTCCTACTATATAGACAAACCGTTTTTGAATGGAGGTAAGAATTAACCCTTCCTAGGTCGGTATTTGATAAGAAATGTACGGTTGATCTAGTCTCTACTCTTTTTTTTTTTTATATTCTCTTGCTGCTCTAGCATAAATTAGTTCTCTCGCTTGCCTGGATTAGTGTGCAATTGGATATGTGGATGCCCAGAATTTTATATTTAGACCCATCAGTTACCTATCATGGTTGATGCAGTTTTGGAGTTGATGAAATTGAAAAAAATGTGGTTTGAATTGCATGTATGTGCATAAATGAGAGGTGTGGTTGTGTATTGTTATGTGGTGAATCACTTTGTGAAATATCAGTTGCGTGTTGAACCTTGTGACATAATCCAAGTAATGCTCAAAAAGTCCCAGTGCTTTCTTGGTCTAATCCTCAACATCAAATCATCGTTATTGTCTGGTTTTTGGACCTGCGGAAGCCACGGAACTAACATGGAGGAATGTTAGCTTATATTTAATTGGATGGTACGAGAAGTGTAATTCCAATGCCCCTGAATATGGCAATTCGGAACTGCATTAGCAATTATATATCTGATTGTACGAACTAACTTGACTTCTTGTTGAATTAATGGATTGAAAATAGTGATCTCTTTTCTCGTTTGTTTTAATCTTTTGGTATTTCGCTTATCTGTCAATGGAAGTAAATTATTACCGTATTATTGGGTTTGTGAGTCGTAATAATTGAAAACAATAGTATTCATTAAGTGTTTTATAACCCAATCTGGGGTGAAACCCAGCAAAGTGGCCGGGCCGGGCATTGTTTTAAAAACCGAATCATTCCTTAACCCAATTTTGTTTAACCGGTCTAACATTTCTAAACAATTAATCATGTCATATTTATCATTTATTTTTCTCCCTTCATCACTTTCTTCTTTTTTCTCTTTTTCCATCACTTTTCTTTTCTCTCTCCTCGGTCATTTTCTTCTCTTTTCCATCACTTTTCACTCTTTATCGCAACTATTTTTCTTTCCTCTTCTCTTTCTCTCCTCTTCTGTTTCTTCTTCCCCCTCCTTTTACTTCACATGACGGCCGCAATCTAGCCAAACGAGGTCCAAATTGGCCACTTCTTCCTTCCCTTCCCTTCCCTTCCCCTTACTTCTTCTTCTTGACTTTAACAAAGAAAACTTTTTTTCTTTTTTTCTTTTTGAAATAGAGAACCGATTTTCTAGGCGGTCCGGTTGGATGAAACGGTTTTCACTTTTTATCTAGTTTAATTGCGGGTCAAAATGGTTTGTTACATATAAGCGGGTTTAATATTAACTCGGACCGAACATCTGTTCGAGTCCTGGTCAAATCGGTCGAATCGGTCGGTCCAGTCTCGGTTAAATAGTGTTCTCAAGTTGACCAGTGTTTAAAGGTTTGAAATCTAACAAAAATACCTTTGAAAATTATTGTAAGCCTTTATAGGTTTGAAATTTTGCAGAAATACCTTAAACACCATTGTTGACGTCGACAAATAGGGCTTGTTTCCGGCGATGATAATACTATCACCACAAAAATACTCTCTTAAGCCTCTTGACCAAAACCAGTCTCACTCCTCTATTTCTTGCCTCAATTGTTGGCAACAATAGGCTTTTTCTGATGACATAGTTCTGTGATTTTCGATCGATTTATTCATAGAAAATCACCGTCGTTGCCCACCATTACACTCACTAGCTATTTCTTTTCAAAAGTCTTAACATTTTAGTCTTCAATTATTCATGGATTGATGTTCTAATATTTAGAGTTTTCAATGAATAGTAAAATTTGCAATCCGATCTAATGAAGGCTCAAGTCGACTTAATTGATTGGGTTTTAAAGGATAAAACTATTTGTACAAACTCTTTGTACAAAGAAAGTTATACAAAGAGTTTGTACAAAATGACGTGATACATCATGTGAGTGTCACGTGATATAAGCGTTCACGTAACATTAATGTGACATTAAGTTACTTAGGTTCTAATGTTATATGACATGCTTTGCAATATGTCATGTCAGTTTATATAAACTCTCCTTGTATAAGAGTTTGTATAAATAGGAGATTTAAAACACTGGTATTCATTACTAAAATCTGGCAGTAGGTTTGCAATTGCACTATAGTCTTGAAAATTGTAAAATTTCCTCTCCTTATGATGGGGACATCGGTGGTTAGTTGTCCTTTGACCAAGTAACAACGGTCAATTGGATCGAGGTCTTGAAATTAAGAAAATCTCGATGATTTGGGTACAAATGAACCGCATCCACAAGCAGCTTAATTAGTTTAAAACAATAAATTATATAAGTTTTAATTTGAATTAAAAAATTAATAAAATTTGCTTCTAGTAACTTCTAACTTGCATATAATAACCAATTAATATTCCTACCGAACGACAAACATGTTTTTGGTTTTGATATATGCATAAATATTAAATAACAGCCTTAGGAAAGTGTAGAGGTATATCTTGATTGCAAAATTAACAAATTTAAACGCGTGGATTTAGAAGAGCTGTAATTTTCTAAATTTCGTTCTATAGTTGTTGATTGGGTAGTTACATTAGTTAGTAGTTGCTGAATCAGGTTAAAACTCTGCATAAATGGCAGCAAGAATTTTGTTTAAATGGCAAATACATATAAAAAAAAAAAATGCAGATTTGAAATTATTAAGCTCAAGAATTTCTACCACAGAAAGCTATTAAGCTGGTTCGTGCGCAACACTACTGTGAGTTTTCTTTATTTACTTTTTATGAATTATTTTTTATTTTTTTACCATAATTTGTGTTTAGATCTGGATCTTTACATCCTATTCTTGTTAATGTAAGTTTACGAGTTCAAACTTGAATCTGAATTGGAGTTGACGTCTTTAATAATCTATTTAAATCAGAAGTTTGTTGAACTAACCTTTTCCTATCATAATAACATCAAATGATCCAGTCTGGAATCACTAAACTTTTCTATTATTTTACTTGAATGATTGGTCCTTTGATTTATCAAATTTCTGATGTTTCCAATTGAAGCATTTATAGCTCAGAGTAAAGTATTTAATGAGAAAAATGACATAACTTCATAGGATTTTCCTTGTATCTTCCATTAGATCTTTTCTTTATTAAAGTCAAGCATTAGAGAAGAAATCTCTCTCTCTTTGGTTTCTGGTCTATTAAATAATGCTGATTAAAATATATTGATTATTATGCCTCAATCATTACAAATAGTACCTCTAATTAAAATATAAAATGTTAAATCTCTATGAAGCTTCTAATGGACGGGGCAGCTTTTGTTGGTGACATTTTAACTTGCAATGTGATCCTTCACCTTCAGCTATTAAAGAAAAGAGAAAAACATGCTAGCTTATGGATTGAAATTGACTCAGAAGTACATTACTTTTCAAATCAACTTTATTATGCATATATTGAGAGAAAGGGATGAAAATGTCAACTATCAAATTATTGGTACTATTTATTACCATGAATAATGTTATATTTACAACTGAGTTATATAATAAGACAAAAATTGCACAAAATTCATATAAAATAATTACTCTATTCTATATGTTTTGTCTGATTGTGTGTCTGGTTGTATGACTCAATTGTAAACATATCATTATTCTATTAACATTAAGAAGGCGTTTGGTTAGGAGTTATATGAGATTACTAAGGTTATGTCATCTTATATTACTTGATTATCACGTTTGGTTGTCAAATAATATAAAATTTCAATAATCTTCCTATACTAATAGTAGTTACTGTTGACAATATTGGATGTAATTTGATTACTTCCATTTTCTTAGGTATTGTAAGATTGCCAAGATAATTTTTTTTTTTTGTTACAGTTCTATCCCTTATTAATAAAATTTTAGGACAATAATACCCTTATTTTTAAATTAATTTACATGAATATGACTTTTACTATTTCACCCAAATTAATTAACTTTTTGGACAAAATTACCCTTGAATTAAAAATAAAATGCAGTTCACCCAAGCCGCCACCCCCACCCACTTGTCGTCGTCGGCTGTCGACGGCCAACCGCCGTCGGAACGGTGCACAGAAGGTCGAAAATAGCTGTCGTGCGCCGATATGGCCATTTTCAGCCAGATCTGTGACTGGAAATGGTCATATGGCACACGAAGGTCATTTCCTACCTTCTGTGCATCGTTAGGTTGCCGGCGGCCAGTAGTGGCTAGGTTGGTGGAGGTGCATTGTTGATTTTCAAACTTTTATTATAGGGTTGTTTTTGCTAGTTTTTTAAATATAGGGGGGTTATATAATTCAAATAATAATCTAAATAATAATATTACATAATAATATAATAATAATATTTAATTAGAGAACAATTCAATAATTTAAATAATATACTCACTAATTTATTCCAACAAACCAAACTCATTTTCCTAAAGGTTCGTAATAATTTTAATATAACTTTTTAGTAATTCAATATTCTTTGAATCAAGCACAGGAATGGTAGTATTTATAAATAAAATCTGATCAAATTTATAAGCTAATTTATAGCGTCATTTGATTGAAGACTAAAGCTACCGCGAAAAGTCTTTTCCCTGCATTACACAACACAAATAGATAATATAAATTGTGTAATACTATACTTACAAAATTTTTTTACAAAGATCTCCATACAAAGTGATGTAATAAAAAATGAATGGAAGAGTAAATTTAATGAGTTTAACTTTTTATTTTACTCTTTCATTTATTTTTTGTCACCTCACTTTGTATGAAAATCTCGATAAGATTTGTTTGTAAGTATAATATTATTGATATAAATTATAAAAGATGAAGTATGGAGACTGTTTCTCACGTACCTGTTGTGCGTGTGGATGAAGTCTCACCTCTCTCGTAATAAAATGTGGAGCCAGAGGCCGTATATCGCGGAAGTTACAGACAGAAAACCGCGTTTAAAAGTCTCGTTTTCAGATTACGCCGTTCCTCACACAGCGTAGACTTAATTAATAAGAAAAGCCCACAAAAAAACACGTATTATTACTACTAAAATTGGAATTGGTAATACCAACTACATTCTCCCTCGTCATCTCAAAAAGAAGCAAACAAGCCTCTGCTTGTTTGTTCTCTTTTGCCTACTGTACTAATCACTAATCACTTTCTCTGCCACGCTCTGATTCAAATCTTATTCTTAACACAGCTGATTAAAGAGAAGAGTTGGGATGGGAAAGAAACTTGATGCTCTGTTTGGAAGAAACTTCAAGTCCTACAAGTTCAAGCCACAAGTCAATCTTGCCATTTCTCGCCTTGCCGTCCTCAAGAACCAGCGCCAAGTCAAGTGCAACCAGGCCCGCTCCGATGTCGTTCAACTCCTCCAACAAGGCCACCAAGAACGTGCTCTCCTTCGAGTAAGATTTATACGATATCTTTAATAATTTACTTGTTAACTGGTCTATGTATGATTAGAGAGAGATCTGGTTGTTTTTGTTGTTCAGGTTGAGCATGTGATCAAAGAGCGAAACATGTTGGATGCTTTCATTATGATGGAAAGCTACTGCAATCTACTTATAGAAAGGGTTCACCTCATTGAACAAGACAAGTTAGTTTCATATATACATTTACAGATTTATGAAGGAAGTTCTTTTATTTATTTGTCGGAATTCTCATTTCTGGGCTTAATTTTTTTTTTTTTGGTTGCAGAGAGTGTCCCATTGAATTGAGGGAGCCAATATCGACCTTGCTGTTTGCAGCTTCGAGATGTGGAGAGTTCCCAGAGCTTCAAGAAATTCGCGCGTTGTTCACGTCTCGCTATGGCAAGGAATTTGTGAATCGTGCTATTGAATTGCGCAACAATTGTGCAGTGAACGCCAGGGTATGGTTTTTTTTTTTTTTTTTTATTTCTATTTTTAAATGTGAGTTAGATATGTACCTTGTTTGAGTAGGTTTTCAATTTAACAGAAAAAGCAAAAAGGTAACGTTTTATTTGTGAAAGGCAGACATCCGGTCCTCCTCAATATAACCTTTTCAAAAACTTTATACATAGAACTCGGCTTTGCTTCCAGAACTGCCCTGTATTACCACAAAAAGTCATAATGTGGGTTTAAGAATGGATGCTCAATTTGACGAATATGCATATTTAGGACTAAGTCAAATGATAATGATAATAAAAGATATGTGAATACTATGTGTTATGTTGAATTCTTGGGCACGTTAATTTTAAGATATTTGTTCATGGATTTCTGTAGATGATACAAAAGCTGTCAACCCGTCAGCCAGAGCTGGAGAACAGAATGAAAGTGCTCAAGGAGATTGCCACCGAGAATGGCATTGTTCTGCAACTTGAAGATACCTCTTCTATTTCCAGTGAGGTATTGAGACTATACAAGCAAATATTGCATTAGTTTTATTGCTTGAATGCGCCCTAAACTTTGGCAGTTGTTCGTAACTTGTGGCCTTTTATGAACGATGCAGGAAATCTTGGATGTAAGCAAGAAGCAAAACCAGACTGAGCCGAAAACATCAACTAATTTATCTCCCACTAGGCCAGGCGATCATTCACAAAATTCTCCTAATAATCTCCGAGAAGATGATGAGTTCTCTGATTCAATGAAGGCAGGGAAGAAGTACAAGGATGTTGCCGATGCGGCTCAGGCAGCTTTTGAGTCAGCTGCTCATGCAGCGGCGGCTGCAAGAGCAGCTGTGGAACTCTCAAGATCTGAATTCCATGATCCAGATGATCACAGTGGTCCCAGTACTTGGCAAAGAAGAGAAACTGGAAGAGATGATCCTGTAAAACTTGAATCTGAATCTAAAATTGAGGAAATTCTTGGTGAAAGCAAAGCTGCAGAATCAAAACACAGCGAGAATGGAGCAGAACTTGAGAGTTCAATTTCTAGTTCAAGTTCAGATTTAACAGAAGAAAAATTAAAGGTGACTACAATGTCCACTGAAGTGGACCCTGAGACTCTGAAGTTACTAGAGAAGGATATAGATTTTGACAACAGTGACAGCGAGGGCTCGGTTATTTCTCATAGGCAGATCCGTTCAAGCTCTCAAGCTAGTCTGAAAGTGGAGAGTGGACAATCCAGTGCACATGCAGCTGAAGAATCTGTGTTGCAAACTAAACAGCATTTAGACATGGCGACTCGCCCAATGTCAGTTAGGACCAGATTCACCAGACAAGTGCGCGGGTACTAAAATGTGTGTAAGTCTTGAGACTTGTGTAGTCATGGCCTAGGCTGATAAGCTAAACTGCCTTTTCTTTTTCATTTTTCTCCCATTAAATTTTGAAAAAGTTGAACTGTGTAATTGATTTGGAATGTAAGTGAGTGCTGAAATTTTTTGTGTGTTAATTTTGATGTAATGACTGATTGACTTCAGCCTCAAAGTTCAATTTGTTGATCATATGTGAAGACATGCTAGTGGTAATATGGCACATCAACATACTGCACCATATATTCAAACTATTTATAAAAGCCTAAGTTTCACTAACACGGGAAAAGTAAGAGAAATATGCAATAATGTTTCTCTGGAGGAATGTGCAGAAAAGGCAATATACAATAATGACTAAATGTGCATTCATGATGGTCAGTGCACAGCCTAAACTTGACTTTGGATTACATGTATCGATTCTCATATACTAAATTGCAGAAGAGATAAATTAATAAATAATACATTTGCCTGTTAAAAATCACTGATTATGTAAATATTATCTTCAAGGAAGAGTTTTAACAACCAACTCACTAATCAAAGGTTTCAACAAAGTCAGCTCAAAAGATACTTTTATGCACCAAATATAATAGAAAGAGCAAGCCCTTAAGAACTACATTAACTTTCAAAATGGTTTGTCATTTACGAAAGAAAGGTTTGTCACATAACATTTGTGAAAAATAAACAAACAAACAAACTAATTTTCAGAGCTAAAGATCTAGATCTAGCAAAAATGCAGAATCTACAATAACGAAAACTGAAAATTTTTATATGCCTGATCCTCGATTAAGTATGTAACACTACAAATAACTCAGTGGCCTCTTGGCCTCTTCTTACCATGTTGCAACAAATCAGAAAAAGCCTGCAAACTCACACCAACATCTTCATCATATTCGATTCCAAGCTCCTCCTGCAAAACATGACCAACTATTAGAGAATCTGCACAACACAACACCATATGGTTTGAAGAAATAAATGATGTAAAAAGAACCTTAAATTCCTTCAGATCCTTAGATGAGTTCTCAGTTATGGTATCCCATATATCTTTGAACATCCTTTTACGCTTTCTCCACTGACTTACTTTCTCCAAATACATCTTCTCAACCGCCTTCCTCTCCTCGGGCTTCACCAGGGTGACTCCTCCACGCAATTTAGCCAGTTTATCCTCCATTTCCTTAATCTGATACATAATCAAAAAATTACTAAGCTTTTTCCATTCTTCCTCACAGGTAAAAGTAAATTAAAATCAAATAATCCATGCCACATACCTCCTTTCTTAGTTTGGCTTCTTTCTCACGTATTTGTTCCAATGTTAAATTTGACTGTAAAGTTCTAATTTCTGCAATAATAGTGTATGCTAATTGTCACTATAGAACACAGAAACTATCCTTTCAACGTTCCATACAACCAATGAAATGTTAATTAATTACCACAATAAATAAATTTCTTCCATAGCACATACCAAAAAAAAATAAAAATTATACCTCCCTCAACCCTGGTGATTGCCTTCTTCTGTTCTTCAAGCTGTTCCTGCAGCTTGGCATTTTGTTCCTTCATCTGATTAAGCTCTTCATTGTTCGGAATGTCAAACTGGTCTTGCCTAGCAATGTATATCTTCTGTTTACCATACTCCTTGAATGAAATCTTTCCGCTATCAGCAAGATTATCCAAAGCTTTTTGTACAGCCGTCTTTTTAAGGTTGTACTTTTGTAAAGAATCAGCCACATTTTGAGAATTTAAGGGCCGATTTTGCTGGAAAAAGAACATAAACAAAAGCATTTGAGAGAGTAAAGCACAATCCACAAACATAATTAATAATACACAAATAGACAATAATTTTCCATCAAATTAAACAGTCTATCACATTTTTCCTTCTTTACAGATAAGATCATATTTCCAGTGAAACAAACGAATCGACTTCTTGACCATTTCCTGAGTAATAGAAGCTCGCTTGTAAAGTATAGATTTAGTTTTTTTAATCTCCCAAACAGTAAGAAAACAAAAATGTTCAATCAAACGGAGAATAAATGTTATACACCAAAATTTAAGCGCAACTTAATATTGATTATTGCTCGTATCATAGACCAGTAATGAATTCGTGGAAATTCAAAATTACCTCATTCACGAAGTTGAGCACGATTGCTGAAAATTTTTAAAAAGAAAAAGGATGATCGTCGAGTCAGAAAAGAGAAAATGTTAATAAAATAACAAAATTGAGAAAATAGATTCTTAAATAATCAAAGTTAGAGAGTAATAGTTACCTTCTGTATTATCAGATTTAGGAGCCATCTACCCAAACTGCGCGGGAAAATAATAAGTAAAAGAAAATCAAAGCGAATGTTTGGCCAGGACGAAACTTGCCTCATAAGCAGGATTCTGAAATTCGAAACGGTGGCGTTTCTCTTTTGTTGTAGAGCTTCTGGTTTTTGACAAATCAACCCCCAATTCAAATTAAAAATTACGCATCAAATGTGCTCCACTTCCGCGCCTATCCTCATTCCGCGCTCAAAAGTTGCCACGTCAGTATGCTGTTTGTCACAAATATTTTTTTTTTTTCAATTTTAAAGAAAATGTTTCCGTAATACTTTTTAAAATTTTACATGAAGAAAATTTTACTCAAAAATATTGCACCAACCTAAAATCAGATTTTTTTTTTTTTTGGTTTATTTTTCAAATTTATTGGTTGTATTTAAAATTAATATATGAAAAACAAAAACAATTTTAAGTACCAAATACCAATTGTCTTGCAACTGATGCAAAAAAGATGACGATGACGGTAACATCAGCTAAGCCTCAGCCTTTGCTCTGCACCAACTACTCCTTTCTTTCAACCAAAGCATTCAATTCAAAGTTGTTTTATCGCCGATTGCACAATTCAGCCATCAAATTCAATAGCCAAACATGGCCTAAACAAAATCCGCCACATTTGAGTCCCATCGTTTGCCGCGCGGCTCGCCGCAAACCCACCGTAGCTGATGCTACTACCGCCTCTGTAGAGGGCAATGATACAGTACGGCGGGTGCTACAGTTTTCTCTCTGGACTGCCGAAGCTGTTTACATTTTGTGGCTCTTCCTACTTCCCTTTGCTCCAGTATGGGTCTCTTTTTATACTTATAAAATTTCTCTCTTGACATTGAAAGTTGAAACTTGGGTTGCTTTTCTACGTTACAATTGTGCGTAATCTGGTAGTTTATTCAGTGAATTTATTCTAAAGGCCATATTTTATATGTATATCATATGTTCTGTGAATAGAATTTAGTGTTATGCTTCAATAATTTGATTTCGTTTTGTGGATATGGACATTTTCAAAATCACTGAGTTGATGATTTCAAAAAGCATGGACTTTGAAAATAATGTCAAATATTTCAGCTTCAAATATATGTATAGTGTAGCAGGTTTTAAATGTTTGGAATGTTACTGATCATATTTTTTTCAAAATACATTTGAGATTTTTAAATGCATTAAATTTTGGCCTAGACATTTATGTAATGCTTTTTAATAATGTATTCATTTGTTTTAGAGAATATCTTCTCAAATGTGACACTTCAGTATTTATTAATGTTTTGTATTTACAGAAGAAAGGTTGATTAATTTTTTTATTTAATAGGGAGATCCAGTGTGGGCTATCAGCTCAGAAACAGTGAATTCCCTTGTGGGCCTTTCTCTCAATTTCTTCTTTATCTTGCCGTTGACAAATGCTGGTATGTCAAACTATTGTTAATGGTACTTGCTCTTTAGAGAAAGGATTTCTTTGTAGATCAGTTATCAACTATAAGCTTGATAAATATGAGATGCACTTACTTTGGATAATCATAGCTATCTAAAAGTATAAACCATGTTTCATTGCTCTGTGATAAAATTTGGATGGGTGTATAGTAATAAATTGAACCCATGAGGTGTTCTCATCAACTTCTGTTAAACTTGTTTTAAGTCCATGCTAATTATTCAGAACTCTCATCTTTCCATCTTCTAATGCCATTTGGATAGTTGAAATTTACAATTTTCATTCCCATCAATTGACTTGATATCTCTATCCGTTTCTTTGTCCTTGTCTTTTAGGGGTTAGAGGGAGTAGTTACATGACTCATTTTGTTTATTAAAATTGAAAGTTGATTTACTAACCGAATTGGATTGTTGAACAAGTCCTTATCATGTGCTAGGCATTGATAATTTGTGCAATGAATTTTTTGGCAGAGTAGTCGGAATTCGTTTAATTGATGCTCCAGTTCTTCATCCAGTAAGTATTATTATAACAAATGAAATATGATGCCACTGATTACTGTACTTCATGCTTATTTTAATGTGATGCAACTGTTAAGAGGCTTCTTGGCATTTGCATCCCAGTGTAAACGTCCATTCTGATGTTAGTTTTATTCTTCAATCAGATGTCTGAAGGATTGTTCAACTTTGTAATCGGATGGACCTTCATGTTTGCTCCCTTATTATTCACAGATCGAAAGAGGGACAGATACAAGGGTTCTCTTGATATTTTATGGGGTTTGCAGATGTTCCTTACCAACAGTAAGCTTCCTCTCAAATCTTGCTTTAGTTAAATGAACTTGACCATGTATACCACACATGTATATTTCTTTTGCGTAAAAAATTTAAGTTGGTGCCCTCTCTTAGTATGATACTTGATTTGGCTGAAGCAATTATCACTGTTTTGGCGATTTTCTTTGTAGCAAGTGTGATCTTATGATGGGTTTATCCTGGCAACAGTGGGCTTCAGAGTCCATAGCTGCCCTTTGATTTGCTTTTTCTCCTTGTTTTTCAACTTTAATTTTGGACACTAGTGAAGGTTTGTTGTGATTTCTTATTAACCAAAGAATTGAGTTATATTTATTCTGATGCCAGCATTCTTAATCCCTTACATGGCAATACGGCTGAATGAGGCTGATGCCGACTATATTCAAAGAAAACGCTCTCAACTAGGCTCCGTGATGACAAATGGTGGGCCCATTGTAGGACTTGTTGGCGGAGCTGTATGTCTGATATCTGTGCTTTGGGCCCTCTATGGTCGAATGGATGGAAATTTTGGCAGCATAACAGACAGATGGGACTTCCTGGTTAGTTATCTTGGATCAGAAAGGTTGGCTTATGCCTTCATATGGGATATTTTTCTTTACATAATTTTCCAGCCTTGGTTGATAGGTGACAACCTGCAAAATATTCAGACAGGCAAGGTGGGTATAGTGAATTATCTTAGATTTGTGCCTGTGGTTGGTTTAATTGCCTACCTTCTCTTTTTGAACCTTGATGAGGAACTATAGCTAAAGTGTGGTATTGTTGATAGGCAATGATGATTGTTAGAATGAGCCGGTGTATGAGTCGCAGATATTTGTTTCCAGTTTTCTCTATGACAGAAAATGAAATTGTAGAATCTTTTATGTTAGTGAATTCTTTGGCTGAGATGTATAATTAAATTGATCAGAATGAAGTTTCAAGATAAGATTTGAGAAGTTTCTTTGCTTGTATTAGACTCCTGTTGCTATTTGTTGGCGTTCAACCACATATCATTCCGGCATTGCTACTCTATTGAGTGTGTGACCAGAAAATGTACATGGACATCTGATACGCACCATCAGCTCATTTATCGCATTCTGCGAGCACAGCTAGCATGAAATTTTCATTTTGTTGAATCTTTATATCATTAACAGAGAATATCCTGATGATCTTTTAATTACTTATATTCCTTCTGCTCTGAAACTTGCAAGCAAGTACCTTCCTCCATATACTTTTCTTGCATTTTACAAATCACAAAATTTAAGAAGAAGAAAGAGCCGCCAAATGAGGGAATATCCTTTTAACTTACCTTTGAAAAATAGGAGAAGGTTCATATGCTATCAATTGAAACTTATGCCAATAAAGGAAACTCATCATTCAAACAACTGACTCCTTCTAAATATTTTGAGTTAAACAGTCTCAAATCTCAATTTACGTGGAGCTATCAGCTATGGCAACATAAAATCTTCAGCCAACTTTCATGTCAGTACACCTGACCTGAACAGAACCTTGCTAGTAGTTCTTAGCCATCAACACAAATCATAAAACCAAAGTGAAATTTATGTAGTCTTCACATTATTCTAAATAGCTCTAACCAAACTCATTTCCAATGCAGTTAAGTCCGTGTTCGTTAGCACATGTTCTGATTTTTTTTCCTATCAGAACAAAAGTTTACCAACATCAGGGGTCCTAACTGAAAGCTTGGAGAAAATCAAACAAACAACTCTTGTATAAATGAATAGTAGCAAACTCACAAAGCCAAATTCCATTCGCAATAATGGAGCATTATCATAATCTAGTTTAGAATAGCTAAAATACAAAACAATGTAGAGTTACCCAAACCCCAAATTTGTACCCAAAAGCAATGTGTACTCTACTGTACACATTTAGGTAGTAAGATTACCACCACTTTGCTGCCATAAATTGATGATATCAGTGGCCTGATTAAGAAGTAAAATCATCTTCTTCTGGGATATCCATGGTTTACTCTCTAGAGTGGCCTTCAGCTCTTCCCATGCATCTTTTCTCGGCCAAAAGAAATATGGGCTTAAAGGAATGGTGCCATGCCCGGGTATTGATTGATCAAGAGCAAGACCAATGTTCTTCTCCATCCATATGAACTTCAATACAAGCCTCGGCTTCCCCACTTGCTTCACCGACACCTCAGCTTTCTGCAAAATTCATTAAAACTCTCTAAATAAAGCAAAGCTACACACATACATAAAGAAATAAAGAAAGAAGAAAGAAATATTTTGACCTCAATTTCTACTGGGGTTGAGGAGATGGTGTCTGTAGATGTTTCAGCTGTGAGTGTTTCTGGGGCTGCTGCTAAAGTAGTACTGAGTCGTCTTTGGTTTCTTGAAATGGGGTTGGACTTGATGTGAATGGAAGTTTTGAAGGATTTGAGACTGAGTTTGTGAGAAGGAAATGAAGAGCAGCTAGTTAAAGTAGTATTGAAACTAGATTGAAGCGCCATTGAAGAAAACATTTTGCGATATGTTGAAGGGGATACGGAGGTTTTAACTTTTTATTGGGTAATAAAAGAAGGCATGAAAGTCTCCCCTGACTGATCAGAATTGTCTTGCGTTTGGATAAGGGATTGAACAGACGCTTAACTTTTTAGGACAGGGGAGATTGCAAAGGCCTTTTGGGCGAGGCCTGCTCGTGGAGTCCAGGATATATAGCCCAAACTTGTTTTGATGAACGTTATTCCTAATGGGCTAGAACAATTGTGGAGGAGTAGTGCTAAAACGCCCATCTCTAGGCTGAACAGTCTCATGTGCAGAACAGCAGATCTGTTCTTCAGACCCACCCACTTATTAGTAATAAAAACATTGAACCAAACAACAGGGTTGTATCTTTGCCTCTTTGGTTTATCAATAACCTCTATCCATTCTCTTTTAATTTAAGTCTGGCATTTTACGTGAATGAGTTATGCCAATCAATCTTGGATACATTATTATTTTGGGACAAAAAATGTTTTTTGAAAAACTATCTAAATAGAATATGATAAGATTTTGATAGTGGGTTTGGTATGATATTTGAAAATTATATTAGAGTTTGATAAAATGTTGAATAATTATTTGGTATATATTTTTTTTTAAATATTTAGATTATTTTAACCCCCTATATTTGTTAATTTAACTAAACACTCCTCCACAATAAAACTTTAAAATTTAACAAAAACACCCCATAATGAAACTTTAAAATTTAACAAAAACACCCCCACAATAAAACTTAATAATTAACAACCCCCTCAACCCAAAAAAAATGAAGCCATCGATGACCATGGTCAAAGACCAAATAGATCTGGCTAGAAACAGAAAGATCGTAGCACGATTAGCCAGGTCCAGCCTATCGTGCGTTATTCCGACGTTGGTGATGGCCACCGATGATAGTGATGACGGCCGACAGTGGATTGGGTGGGTAGGGGTGTTTTTGTTAATTTATAAATTTTTTATTTTGAAATGTAATTTTTTTTTTAATTGAATAAAGTTTGAAAAATGTTAGAATATGATGATAGAAAACAAGTCTTACCCACTTTTCAATAGAAAAAATTTTATTTGATTCGGATTGATTTTCAAAATAACGATCCCAATAAGTAAATAAACATAAATTCCGTTTTTTAATCCAAATAGTATAATAAAAAAAATAATTTAAAAGAGTGAAACAAATAGGAGAATATATTTATAAATTATTTTTTTTTTCAAAAATAATTTTAACTATTTGTAGGACTTACGAAGACATTTAAATGTGAGACAAAATAAACACAACTCAATTACCTAACTTGCATATTTTTAGATTACTCGAAAACAAATCACCAAAAAATCAAAGAAAACCTTCATATGCTTGTTTTAACTTTTAACCCGTGATTGAAGGGTTGGGAGTTTCACATTCATCCAAGATCTATCCATATTTAAACAATCCACATAAAACCCATGATCTCTGTTGGTAGCTCATCAGACCTTGCTAAAAGTAATTTTGCTAGGAAAACTCCAGAACTGATTGGCCCATACATTCTCTGCCTTATCTCCATTTTCTATTGGATTGGGATTTTCAATGATGTTAAACTATAAAGTCCCAGGTGAGGAAGATAATACCAGAATATTCCTCTTAGGACAGAGTGAGATATGATCAAATGGATTCAAAGGATATAAAAGTAAATAAAGAAAAGAGTAAAAGACACAACAATGGATAATGAAATAATTAAAAAGATAATAAAATCGTTGTTGAATATTTATTGATCTCACATGTCCATTGGCATGCCTGTCGAAAGTGGCAATGTTGATGACTTCCCTTGAACGTGACTACATGAGCGGTCTGCGTTAATATACCTTCATCCAGTTGTACACGTATTTATCTCTCATGTTCTTTTCGTAAAGAAAACAACATTCTACAATTTTAGTAATTAAATTAATCAAATTATTTTATCCTTGAATTACCTAATCGCATATCAAATTACTCATATTTTATATTACTAATATTGTACTTAGAAGATAAAAGATTTATAATTTTTAAATCAGGAAAATATTTCCTTAAATCAAGATCCAGTTGAGAGGAAGTGGTTATTTTTTTGAATTATTTTGTCTACAAACTAATGGACAACAAAGAGCTATATAACATGGGATTGTAATTTGTATTAGATTGCTATTGAGTAGAGTAGTAATAATGAATATAATTTGATATCATAACTCTTCTCTCTACAGTTTTATGCTTCTGAGAAGATTCCCGTCAACTCTTGACAGTGAAGCTGGTCCCTTCCTGCAACTCCCGTGTATAGCGTAAACTCTCCAGTCTCATCCTTTTCTTAGAATAATTAAACGACATCGCTTCTATCTCTTACATTAGTCAATTGCTTCTTCTTGATTATGCCACATCAAGGAACATGATATGGAGCCCCACTCAATCTCAATCACAATCACATCCATATCTCATCTGCTGTATCTACGTACCAAAAACTCATGATTTGACTCTCCATATTTAATCGCTAGTAGTTGTGAATCCATCTTCTTCGTCTTGGTTATGTAAATCAATATTAATGGCCGGGAGAATTGGTTCATTTAGGCACAGCTTTGCTGAGAGGAGTAAAGAAAGATTGCTCTCTAAAAAGGGATATTCAGACTTTGGTCTAAACAGCTCCGGCGACAGTGAAGATGGAGTCAAATGCAAGTGTTTTCGTTCATTCTCCGATGGAATTATTAACTCTTGGAATACTTTGCAAGATGTTTCCCGTAAGTTATATGAGATGGGTCGTTCCGATCCTCGAAAAGTCATTTTTGCCGTCAAGATGGGAATGGCTCTGGCTCTTGTATCACTCGTCATATTCCTCAAAGAGCCTCTGGCTAATGTTAGCCAATACTCGATCTGGGCAATTCTTACAGTCGTCGTTGTTTTCGAGTACAGCGTAGGTACTATTTACAAATTAAGATCAAATTTAATGCAAAAAAAAAAAAAAAAAAAAAAATCAAACTGTACAAATATGACTATTTTCTTTGGACAGGTGCCACTCTTAACAAAGGGTTCAATCGTGCCTTGGGAACGTTTTCTGCTGGAGGTCTTGCTTTGGGAATTGCAGAACTTTCTATACACGCTGGAAAATTTCAAGAAGTTTTTATTATAATTAGTATTTTCATTGCAGGTTGGAAAAATGAAATTACCTTTATTCCCAATACCCTTCTTGGAAAATCAATTTTTGCACTGACATATCTAAATTTTTGTGTTCAGGATTCTGTGCAAGTTATTTGAAGCTTTATCCGACTATGAAAAC